TTTCAGCACTTAAACAAGGGCAAAAAGGTGGGCGAGGGGGAATGTTTAAAAAATAGAGGCTGCTGGCAGGAGAGGGCACTGTGTGCTTTGCTATATCCAAGGGAACGTGCCTTTAGGATGCGTCTGTTTTAGGTGGGAGGCTGTGCAGCCTCTGAGCGACCACCCCATTGCCCCCGGGCTGTGATACAGGGCCCGTGGGGTTGGGAAGAGCTCCCGAGGAAAGAGCTTGTGAGCCCGGAGGGCTCCCTGCTCCTCTTCCTGTACCACGCTGTTTTTGAATGAAAACCTGCTTTGTATGTTTTGCTGGGTTAAAGTGGGTCGTGTTGATGGAAGGGGCTGGGGTGAAGGCAGAGCAAGCGTGGGGAGGGGTGGACGGGGGCCACGGCATGGGCAGCATCTGCATCGCTCTTCAACAAAAGCCTCCTCACTAAATAGATCCAAATAGCTTTATTCTAAACTGATTTTCTCTCTCCCCTGCTGTATTTTGTGTCTCTAACATGGTTTACCTGTTTGCTCTAAGTGTAGGGTTTCCATCTGGAGGGGAAATGGTGTTTCGTTTGAAAGGTGTGTCCAGATTAACTCTCTCATCCTTCTTCTTCTTCTGTACAATAATTCCTGTCGTGTTATAAAGGGAAAAAACTGCTTGGAAGGAGCCCTCCCGAACTGCCTTTCTCATGGGCTGTGGTTTTAAGTGGAGGCAGTTTTGATGCCATCCCCTACTTCATTTTTATTTTAGCTCCCCAGATTTGCAGGGAAGGATTTCGGTTTGTTCAGTGCTGAAGGCAAGCCGGCTCCTTGTGCTTTCAGAATCACCTCCGATCCCTCACAGGAGCAGCCTGTTTAGTTCAGCATTCGTATTTCTGGTTAACATTAATGGGAGCTGCTGGTTTTCAGGCTGTCGTTCCGGTTTAAGGGTTTATTTTATATTTTTTTTCCTTTCAGGATCTTCTCAAGGCATGTTTCCATGTGGGACTTCTGTCTTTGCATAAGGGCAAGGCTTTGACTTGAAAATAGCAAAAAAATGATAAAAAAAAAAAAAAGGTTGTGAGCTCCTGCAATCCCTCTGGAAATGATCATTTTAACAAATGCCTGCTGCTCTGCTTAAAGCAAGCTGTCGTGTTTAGCTGCATTTTGGATGGTGTCTATAAACACAGCAGCTGTCTGCATGCAAACGGGACTTTCCAGCAGTGCATAATGTGAAAAGAATCTTATTACGAGTTTAAAAAAAAAAAAAAAAGAAAGAAAAAGCAAGAAAAGCTCAAAGAGCTCGGATGATGCCAGCTTCCTATCAGCTCCAACAATAGTCTAGACATCTCGGAGAGTCATCAGATTAATGTGATGTGCGTTCGGCATTTACAGCTCTGAGTTTCTTAAAGAGAGCTGGGAAAAGCAGTCACTTTCCTCCAGGGATTGGTACAACTCAGAAGGGCTCCTTCTGTCTGATTTCTTACTTTTTCCTCCTCTCTTCTCCAGGGTTGGGTGTTATGGGTCACTTCTTCTATGAATCACAACTTAAAGCGTGGGACAATGACCCTCCTTTAATGTCATTAGTCTCATCAGCACCTTTGCTCAGGAACCCTGTAACTGGTTGCATACCACAAGGAGGAACTCTCCTGGCACAGGGATGTGGTTCCTTCCTTTTGGCAATGAATTTTGGCACTGTTGCAGGGTGGCATCGAGATGGGCTGAGGCTGCTGGAGCTTGGATGGGCTCGATGGGGAGGTCGAATGGCTTCACAACCCCCTTCCCTGGCCTTTCCCCAGGATGGTGGAGATGGGACAGAGCTGAGGTCTGAACCTGCTCCCAACATTGTCCCCAGCCACTCTCCCTCCCACTCCATCACCCGCTGCACCAGGGCACCCTGAGTCCAGGCAGCTGGTTCTGCTGGGGACCATTTCTCTCTGGGCTCAGTGTAGCCATCACCTGTTGGGCCAGGCTGCTCTTCAGGGCATGAATAAACCATCTCCCAGCTGCAGGAGTCAGTTTGTAAAACACTACAAAATTTGGCAAAAAAAACCCCCTCTCAATCCCTTGCTATTTAGCAAGTGCTGTTACTTGAGTGCAAAGCCAGGGATGGAAGAGGGTTTCGTGCCCTCCCTGGTGGCCAGCCAAGCCCTGGGTGATGCCACGGGGGGGACTTGGCTCTGCCTGCCCACAGCGAGGAGCTTCCCAGAAAAGAAATACTAAAACACCAGGGGAAAGACTGCTCTCATTATATCTTCTGGCCCATCCAGAAGGAGAAAATGTCAGGAATTTCCCAAGAAAATCTGTGGTCTTTGACTTTCTGGCTGAACAGAGCTGGCTGGGATGGAGGAGCACCAGCGCTCGTGGGCGTCCTGCCTCCCCCAGGCACCGAGACCTGTCATTTCTTACAGGGTTCTTTATTTCATTTCTTTTTAACCCCATTCAAACAAAATTTATTTGGTGCTTCTGGGGTTTTTTTCTTCTTCTGGTTTGTGTTGACATGATCGTGTTGGGCCGGTATGTGGCTGTGTTGGTTGAGTGTTGAAGGATGGAAAAAGCAGCAAAAACGTGGTGAGGCTTGTGGAAAAGTGACATTTCCTTGCTGTCATTTTGGGAGAATATAGCACAAAATTCACCAGTCTCAAGCACAGATACTAAAGAAAGAGGGGAGAAAGGAGATAACATCACTTAACAAGTTATTTTATTTAGGCAAAGCAAGCTGACAGCAGTAAACTCAGTGGAAGGAATAAATCTGTCTTCGTATTCAAACTGATTAGAAAAATGCATATTAAAAATGAAGCAAGTGATAGCTTTAGGGGCTTTAAAATTATGGCCATAAAAAGCCCCAGCAACTTACTGATTTGAAGGTACATGATGGAAAGTTGCTCCTGTCTAATCGCTGGCCTGTGAAAATGATTTAGCTTTTCCCTGCACCCGCTGGGAAATTGCCCCACTCACAAATGGAACAATTTAAATTTGGGGGTGAATTGAGAGGGAAAACAGCCATCTTAGGCCCTCTGATTAAATCACTTTTCTCTAAATGTCACTTGAAGAGAGTGGCCGTAATGTTGAGTCATTACCAGCCATTTGCATGTACAATAACAACAGGGAAAAAGATAAAAAATCAATACAGGAATCAATAGAGAGCTCCCTGCTCCAGGTCTTTTGCCCGGAGCTTATCATTAGTAGACACTCAAGGAGTGGAGTACTATTAATTAGAGGAAACATTTGCAATCCAGGGGAAATGAGTGGCAGCTGGAAAATCCTCAATTGTTTTTTTAAACTGAGTTTTTGGAGGTGGGCTTGTTTTCCCTTTTTCTTCTGGACTCCTCTGTGTCCCCAGTGAAGTGTCTCCTTCCCACCTATGTTTTGGAGGAAGAGAGAGGTTTCTCACTCAGGATTTTGGGAAAGGATGTGTTTCCAAAACTTGTAAGTAAAAGCCAGGGGCAGCCCTGCTTGAGTTTTATTTTTGTCAGTTAGGTTGACGGTTGGACAAGATGATCTTTAAGGTCCCTTCCAACCTAGAAGATTCTGTGATTCTGAGTTTAAACCCTCCTTAAATCTTTGGGAAGTAAATTTGTGACCCCTCCTCTGTGGTACCCATCCCCCCCAGCAGTGCTGAAATATCTCATAAATAAGGAACATATTTTGTTGCTTTTCCAAACAGCAGCTGCTGGGTTTCCAGGAGAGGGGGCTCTCTGCAGGCAGAGCATCCTCTGAGCGCTGCTGGAAGCCTCAGCCCTGGCCTCAGCAGGACCAGGACGGGGCAGGTGGGTTGAACATCGCCCTTCGCTTTTATCCAAATGGAGTGACTTGCATCGAACATCAGTTATGTATCAGGGGGAGGAAAAAAACAAAAGTAGACAAATAATTGCAAAAAAAAAAATAAATAATGCTTTTGCTCATTTTTGTGACTATTCCATGAGCCCTAAGGAAGGCAAAACACAGTGCAATGTTTTTAGGGAGAGCTGCGTGCCATGGTTCTGCCGGCATTGCAGCTGGGCAGGGGCTGTGCCATCGTGGCACCATGGCAGTGGATCTCAGGCATGGATGATGGTCAGAGCTCCAAACAACCTTTTTTTTTTTTTTTTTTTTTTTTTTTTTTTGGGGGGGTTTTTTTTTTTTTTTTTTGTGGTGGGTTTTTTTTTTTTTTTTTGTGGTGGGTTTTGGTTTTTTTTTTTTGTGGTGGTGGGGGGGCTGAGACGTTCTTCATGTGCATGGGTTTGCTGCTTTTTATTTTATTTTTAAATATTAGTAGCAGTGGCATAGTATAAAGTATGATTTCTTTCCTCTCACCCAATGCTTCCATGCCCTCCTTGTAGGAGTGCAGTAGCAAGTTCTGGTGGTTC